GTATATAACCGTAAAAAAAGAGCGATGACACTCTTTATTAAATTGGTTGAGATGACACTCCTTAGCTTATAAATAATGAATCGGGTGCCCTTAACATATCAACTATTTAATTTCTTCCTTTAAATGACTACAACTTTTAGCTAAATATCTTTTTAAGCAATTGAAGTGATAATCCTAGGATTGCTTTCAATTATTTAGACTTTTAGCATCTTTGGTCATTCGAGTTTATTAGAATTTTAGAAACTCATTAGATTATTAGCTTTAGATGCATTTAATAGAGAATAGTTATTTGATTTATGCCAATTTTTGTGTGAATCCTTAATCTTTTGAATAATTTTGCTTTCTACATTGGGATGTTTGTGCAATTCCATTAGAGGCACTCTTGTAATTATTATTGAATTATTCAAATTACTTATGATGAGCATTGATTATCTTGTTACTAGTCATTTGTGCTTCTATTTGATGAATGAAATCAACAAAGGAGTGAACAATCTCTAGCATTAGATAAAAATAGAAGGGTTAAGAATAATGATCTCCTAGAAAAATAACTTCAAATATACTCCTAAATTTTGACAAGCCTTTAAAGAGAATCTTTAAAAATGCTCTTTAAGAGTACTTTCCACATTTTATCAAAGTTCAAAAAATATGAGAACAGACTTTAATGACTTTAATTGACAATAAATTATTTCATAAAAAGCCTAGCTTGGCTTATCAAAGGTATGGATGGTTCTCTTAGGAAAAGAATAAAATTAAGTATGAGATTGCCTATTAAGGGTGGTAGAAAAGACTTAATAGATGAACTAATAGGAGGCTTATTGGATAATATAAAATTATCCTGCAATGATTAATATGCTCATAAGAATCAAAGGATCCATCACAAAAATCATAGTTGGTAGCTTGAACCCCACATAAATGGGATTCTAGAAGGCTATGTCACCGAATTATTTTGGACCGTGTCACAGAATTATTGATGCAAAGACTTTTAGTTATTACATTGGCTAATGTCTTCTAGTAATCTACAATCAACTAATGTTAGTCAACATCCTACTTCCAATGCCCAATCCTTTGCCCCTTTCATCAGTCAACTAATGTCTTCTAGTATTCATGTCCTAATATTTGATATACATCAACATTGAATGTGTAATAACAACATAAATCCAACATTCATTAACCAGAAATCATGGATTCATGTCCTACTTATGGTACCAGTCATCGCCTTTCTTTCATTGACTAATATTTGTTGACCAATGCCAAATTCCCTATGTTTCCCCTTCACTGACAATAAATATCTATCTTTTTATCGAACAATATCCACCAATGCCCCATACCAAGAACCAATCCATTCATTCATGCCATCAACAAACACCTACCATCATCTTTGACCAACATTGCAACCTCTTACAATTACCTCAAGAGAAAGTCTAAAACTAAATTACTATACTGTACTCTCTCCTTCAATTGCATGTGCGTGCAAATTATTGTAATCTCAAGTCAATACTAGAGCTGGAAAGACTCCATAATTTTCTTTTTTCCATAGATTTCTCATGCAAAAAATATCCCTTAGATTTGTGCAATTCTTCGTGTTGTGTAAAATCTTTTCTAGAAGCTAAGAAGTAATTCATAATCTTTATTACCATAGATTTTATAACACAAAAGTGGCAAAAAAAATCAATTGAAGGTATAGCTAAAATATCTAAATATTCTTAAAAAATATATATATTGTCAGCTTCAAATATTAGACAAGGACACAAATGCAATCAAACTCAATTTCTGCCAACCATCATCCATTGTTTTTGTTCATTTCAGAAGGTAAAAAAATCCTAAACCAAACTATGCAATGTTAT